TAAATGGAAAACAGGAATAAATAAAGGGGATGTAAGTAGTGTGCTGAAAATTTCCAGCCAAGACAGGACTCGCAGCAATGGTTTCAAGTTGGAGAAATTCAGATTCAGGAAAAGGATTAAAAGGAAAGCATGGTTTGGTAATAGAGTTGTGGATGAGTGGAACAAGTCCCGAGTACAGTTATTGAGGCTAAAACGTTGTGTAGTTTTAAAAATAAGTTAGATAAATACATGAGTGGGTGTGGGTGGGTGTGAGTTGGACCTGACTAGTATGTGCTCCTGGGTCTGGTACAGTGCTCCATCCTTGAGTGGGGATGACCAGACTGGGTGGATCATTGGGATAATCCGGGGGGTGGGTCATTGGTCTAATCCGGGGGGGGGGGACATGAATCTGCTCCACATGGGTCAGTAGGCCTGTTGCAGTGTTCCTCTTTCTTATGTTCTTACGTTCTTATTCAGTCTGTCATGTCATTCACAAATACCAGAAACAGCACTGGTCCTAGGACTGACCCCTGTGGAACCCCACTCGTCATAGGCGCCCACTCTGACACCTCGCCACGTACCATGACTCGCTGCTGTCTTCCTGACAAGTATTCCTTGATCCATTGTAGTGCCTTCCCTGTTATCCCTGCCTGGTCCTCCAGTTTTTTGCACAAATCTCGTGTGTGGAACTGTGTCAAACGCCTTCTTGCAGTCCAAGAAAATACATTCTACCCACCTCTCTCTCTCTCTCTCTCTCTCTCTCTCTCTCTCTCTCTCTCTCTCTCTCTCGTCTTACTGCTGTCACCCTGTCATAGAACTCCAGTAGGTTTGTGACACAGGATTTCCCGTCCCTGAAACCGTGTTGGCTGTTGTTAATGAGCTCATTCCTTTCTAGGTATTCCACCACTTCTCCTGATAATCTTCTCAATGACTTTGCATGCTATACATGTCATTGACACTGGTCTGTAGTTTAGTGCTTCATGTCTGTCTCCTTTTTTTAAAAATTGGGACAACATTTGCTGTCTTTCATACCTCAGGTAATCTCCCTGTTCCGATAGATGTGTTGAATATTGTTCTTAGGGGTACACACAACGCCTCTGCTGCCTTTCTCAGGACCCATGGAGAGATGTTATCCGGCCCCATCGCTTTTGAGGTATCTAGCTCACTCAGCAGCCTCTTCACTTCTTCCTCGGTTGTGTATACTGTGTCCAACACTTGGTGGTGTATCCCACCTCTCCGTCTTTCTGGAGTCCCTTCTGTCTCCTCTGAAAACACTTCTTTGAATCCCATGTTGAGTTCCTCGCATACTTCGCGGTCGTTTCTTGTTGTCTCTCCTCCTTTCCTTAGCCTGATTACCCTGTCCTTGACTGTTGTTTTCCTCCTGATGTGGTTGTATAACAGCTTCGGGTCAGATTTGGCTTTCGTTGCTATGTCGTTTTCATATTGTCACTGGGCCTGACTTCTTGCCTGTGCATATTCATTTCTGGCTCTACGTGTGTTCTCCTTATTCTCCTGGGTCCTTTGCCTTCTATACTTCTTCCATTCCCTAGCACACTTGGTTTTTGCCTCCCTGCGCCTTTGGGTGAACCATGGGCTCATCCTGGTTTTTTCATTACTCCTGTTATCCTTGGGTACAAACCTCTCCTCAGCTTCTTTGCATATCATTGTTACATATTCCATCATCTCGTTTACCGACCTCCCTGCCAGTTCTCTGTCCCACTGAATCCCGTCCAGGAAGTTCCTCATTCCTGCATAGTCCCCTTTCTTGTAGTTGGCTTCATTCGCCCGTCCCTTCTGCTTCCCCCTCCACTTGTAACTCTACTGTGTATTCGAAGCTTAAAACCACATGATTGCTGGCCCCAAGGGGTCTTTCATATGTGATGTCCTCAATATCTGCACTACTCAAGGTGAATACTAGGTCCAGTCTCGCTGGTTCATCCTCTCCTCTCTCTCTCTCTCTCTCTCTCTCTCTCTCCTCTCTCTCTCTCTCTCTCTCTCTCTCTGGTAGTGTTCCTTACGTGTTGGTACATGAAGTTTTCCTGTACCACTCTATCTTAGCCCTCCACGTTTCTTGGTTCTCATGTGGCTCCAAGTTCTCCCAATCAATTTCCTTGTGGTTGAAGTTACCCATGATCAGTAGCTTTGCCCTGCTCGCATGAGCCCTTCTGGCCACTGCAGCCAATGTGTCAACCATCGCTCTATTACTCTCATCATACTCGTCTTGGCCTCCTGCTGTTCTGTGGTGAGTTATACATCACTGCCATTACCACCTTGGGGCCTCCTGAATGTGTTCCTACTATGTAATCTCTTGCTTCTCCACTGTCTCCTCTCTCCAGCTCATCAAAGTTCCATCAGTTTTTGATCAGCACTGCCACTCTGCCACCCCCCTGTTCCCTCTGCCTTTCCTCTGGATCTGGTATCCCATTGGGAAGACGGCATCTGTTATCATACCTATGAGCTTGGTTTCTATGAGAGCTATGATGTCCGGTGATACCTCTGACTCTTTTGTGCCACTCTCCCACTTGTTATTCCATCAGTGTTTGTGCACCATACCTTCAGTTTCCTCTCCATCACTGTTTTGGGGATGTCTGTGAGGGTGGGGACCAGGTAGTGTACTGTGGGATTCTATATCTGAGTGCTGGGTGGGAGCTGTGAGTGTGGATTGTAGTTTGTGTTGGGATAGCATGACTGGTTGTGGGGTTCTGGGGATGGTTCTGAGTGTGCATCGGTTAACATTTTTCTTTTACCGTTAAGAAAAGTACTGAATTTAATCTTATGTAGCTGCTCTTTTGTTTATTATATTTCTCTCTTTTTTCATGAACGTGTGAATACAACTTTATATCAGGCGACCCTTTCCCTTACACTTAGCGAGATAATTACCTCAAAGGCAGTGGGACCTGACAATATGTCAGGGCGGGTTCTGAGAGAGACTATAAGCATTGTGTAAATCATACAAGGTCAGACACGTGGGGGAAAAAAAGTGAACGTACTCGCAGTATTAAAAAAAAGGTACAAAGACAGAGTTAAAAAATACATGGCGGTATCGTAAACATGTACATTATATATGGTAATGGAGAAGATAATCAGGAAAGTGGCGACGCACCTCGAGAGGTGTTCCATAAACAAGCACCAGCACAGGATTAGAGAAGGTAAATCCTCTCTTACGAACCTGCTGGAGTTCCGTGAATAGCTCACGAGCCTCATAACCGTGACCGGTTTAGGGGGCTCAACCATCCAAGCCTGGCCTGAGGCTAGACTTCATTTTGTGGCTGCCTGACCAACCACACTCTTGCTGTTAGTGGCCCGCGAGCCGAAACCACCATCACAACTTGGTTAATGAGACACTTCCATAAGTGGTGGTCCAGTTTCCTCTCTAAAACTTCTTCCTTTGTTCCGACAATATCTTCAGCATCGCTGGTAGCAAGAGATTAATCATGTTCCACGTTCACTGAACCTAATTAGGTCATTCATTATCTTTTTTTTTATGCACAGCTATGCATATTTCACTGTCTTTTTATTTCTAAGTTTTTCTTGATTTTCGTTTGTTGGCCAAACTTGACTGTCACAAGAAATAAATTTACAAGCGTCATCTGCAAACGAGTAATATTCATTGAGAATACAGCAATTCGCCAAGCTGTTAAAATCAAAGCATTCCTGTGATATAATGTTCAATGAGGACATGCCAATTATTGCACTATGGAAGAAAGTGAGAAAATTGAAGCTAGAACTAATTTTAACCGTTCAAAAGAACGAAAAACTAACATGAAGGACGTAAGAGTTATAACGTCAGAGAATCTCACTTCCAAGGATCACAACCGTATCATTGTTACTTCCAACCGCCAGAAAAATGACAATGGATCATGAGAATCTTTAAAACAAGGGATGCAAAACAAACGATGATCCTATTTAAATAATTTGTTCTCTCTTGGCTGGAATACTTCTGTACACTAACAACCCTTAAAGGCAGGCGAAATTGCAGATCTAGAGAATGTACAAAAACGTTCAGTGAAGTACCTATATTACTGGAAACATCTGAAGTCCCTTGACCTGTGCTTCTTGGAACGATGGCATAAAATGTACATCATTATATACCCCTGGAAAATTCTAGAGGCAGTGGTCCCACGTGTGCGCGCGCACGCACACACACACACACACACACACACACACACACACACACACACACACACCACACACACACACACACAACATTCCCTACGAATGTATGAGGTTCGGCAGACGGTGCAAAATGTCCCAAATAAACAGCAGGGCTACCTGGAGTAACGAGAAAGACAATACATGTAAGGAGCCCAAGACTGTTCAACAGCCTCCCATCATACTGTATTCAAGAAAGAAATTGATAAGTTCATAAAGTCAGTTCCTGATCAGCTGGTCTGTGGTTCGTACACAGTAGTGTGTGTTGCCACCAGTAACAGCCTGTTTGGTCAAACCCTGAACCACCAAGGGACCTGGTGTGAGACCAGGTCGCGGGGGTGTGGACCCTCGGAACACTCGAGGCTTCCCTGCTCGAATATACGAGTGTTCTGCTTTGTAAGTCTAACAATGTGTTAGGTAAAAGGACACAAGTGCAAGGAGCTTTGTCAAGCAGTTACTGCTTGACAAAGATTCTAAAGAGTGAAACTTTGCCGCAATAAAGTGTCACATTACACTTGTGTCCTCTTACCTAACATATTGTCGGTAACTCTACCAACATTAATACAAGTCTAATAATACTTAATTGTTCCTGCAAAAGTTTTAGTATTTGCTGGCAGCAGGATCACAGGTGTTACTACAGTGACAGTATTCACTTGTGCCTAGGGTGCTCTGCTTTTCACCTGGTTTACGCTGTCTCTCTTCCAATATCTCACTCCAGTAATGCATGGAAAGCGGGCGAGCACTCATCATAGCCTTTAAAGGCGGCGGGTATTTACCACAGACATTAAGAAGAGCAGGTACTCACCACAGACACTGAGGGCAAGTAGGTACTGTACTTACCATAAACTTTAATATGGACAGGTACTCACCATATACTTTAAGAAGGGCGGGGTCTGAGACACGCTTGGCTGCCACATTGTCAGCTACACAGGTGTAGTTACCAGAATCCTCGGGCCGAGCAGACAGGATCAGCAGTGATCCCTCAGACGAGATCCTGAAATTGATGCACGTCCACAGGGTTAATTTTTGTGGGTATTAGAATATGGGATGTCAGGGAGATTATCATTATTATTGGTGTGAAGGCATCAGAGAGAGAGAGAGAGAGAGAGAAAGAGAGAGACTTATTACTAACATACAATCGTTACCGGGAGATCATGTAAATGAAATTGTAAGAAATGCATATGCTACATTGGCGAATTCTAAAGCAGTTTTTAAATATATAGAGGGAAAAATACTGACAAGACTGCTTACTGTATAACACTGAGCCCAGACTAGAATACGTTGGTAAGGTCTCATTTAGATTATGCTGCTCACTTCTGGTCTTCATGTTACGGAATGGACATAATGCGCTGGAAAGTATACAGGGAACGACGACGAAGTCGATATTTTGTATGGGAAGATAAGCTAGTCAGAAAAAGGTCTAAAGGCAAGCTACCCAATAGCTACCAAAACAGAAAAAGAAATGAAAAAATAAACGACTTAAAGCATTAAAGATGGCAACATTGGTTCTTAGGTCAAACAATGACTTGAAATAGTGGACAAGAAGGATTTCTTTGTCCCTTCAACAAGGATACCAAGAGGCCACAGTTGTAAATTAAAAGAGCAAAAGGGATAATATCTTTTCTTCCAAGAGTGGCTGACCAATAACACTGTGCTGCGAACCTAAAACATTAAATAAAAATCATGATGAACAAATTATTGAGGACAGCGTATCAAGAGCATAGCTCAGCGCCTGTACCTACAGAAAGTAATAAAAGTAACTATGCACACAACAACAATAATACAATATAAACATTTTGTACGGAGAGGACGACGATTCCAGCAGAGTCTATAGCTGAGATGAATGACATAACCTCAGCAGCTAGCAGGAAATCCTCTCATAGTGATAGAGAGAGAGAGAGAGAGAGAGCTGGTGCTTTCGACCGGGTGTGGCACCAGGGCCTCTTAGCAAAACTTCAAGTATTGGGAATTGCAGGCTCTACGCTATGTCTCCTCGGTGATTACCTTCATGGTAGATCTCTAAGTGTAGTTTTCAATGGAACGGGATCAGCAAGACATCCTATTGGGGCAAGTGTTCCACAAAAAAGCGTGCTGGGACCATTGTTATGGGATGTCTACTTCAATGACCTCTTTCATCTCATCCCAGAATCAAATGCATATGCAGACGACTATACACTGACATTCACTTATCCAAGAAATGCCAGCTGCTCTAAGCTACATCAATCACTAGCTAAGAGCTATATCAGCTTGGGGAAATAGACGGCAAGTAACATTTGCACCTGAGAAAACGCAAATGATGGTCTCTAGGCACCATGATGGTAATGCTGGTGCAGTAGTAAGGATGAATGGGAGGGTGTTGGCACATGGAGAAGTTGATATCCTTGGGGTGAAATTAACTCCAAACTAACCATGAAGAACCATGTTGTAAATCTTGCAAACAAGGCAGCCAGGAAGCTTACAGCACTTCGCCGTATCTCGCATCTGCTTGACAGTAGGGGTTGCAAGATTCTGTACGAGGCACAAGTACATCCGCACCTTGAGTATGCTCCACTTTCTTGGTTTGCCTGCCCCCCTCCCCCTCCCTCTCATCTGCGACTGCTTGACAGAGTAGAGAACAGAGCAAGAAGTCTCATCTCTCGCTTGGACCAATCCTGGATAGATCTGTCATTTCAGCAGAGCCTTCAACACAGAAGGGATGTGGGTGGCCTTACTGTTATGTACAAGGCCAATATTGTCAAAGTACCACACTTGGATCCACTTCGAGGACAGCGTGAAACAAGCTTTTATGCCACAAGACGGGCAGAAAGCAGCAACTTCACTCCATCTGAGATCATATATACCCAAGATGACTCGAGTATGGAACACATTCGTACAGCATGATGTCAACGAGATAAAGTCAGTAGATCAAATGAAAATGCTGGCCCACAGATGGCTCCAACTTCATCCTGTTCCCTACTTGCATGTCTCATAACAATAAAAATTCTTTCAAATGAGCTGATGTAGGTAACAGCTCTTAGCTTGCCAATAAAGTTAGGAATCCTTAACCTGTAAATAGCTTGTCAATAAAGCTAGGGATCCTTAACCTTGTCAAACCCTGTGTAAAGAGAGAGAGAGAGAGAGACGGAGACGATTTAAGTATCTACTTGATCTGGGATAGTCGATTAAAATCACTCGATTCAAGATATTTGAACTTGGCTAAATCCCTCTACTGGTGGCAAGAGAGGGAGGAAGATGACTACGGCGAGGAGAAAATGTATAAAGAATAGAACGAGGGGGACAAAAGAGAAAGTTTTAATGGCAGCTAGTTTTCTGTTCCAGCGACTCAGCGTTGCTGTTCAGAGGGGTAATGCCTGCTGTATTTTGAGCACGCGCCCCAGTTCTGAAGAGCTGGATGAGTTTTTCGCATTATAATCAGTGACAAACACGTAACAATATGTACTAGACATGTATCTCTCACATTTCATGTACTGTATATGCCATCTTTATATCAACAATGGGATGGGGTTCATCTCTCTGGGGCAGGGGTGGTAGCACTTGCAGACTCGATTGAGAAGGCCATTGGTGAAATGCCTATGATTTTAAACTGATGGAAGATAGAGGTATGGGTGTGTGTGGGAAACAAGCAGGTTGCAACACTAGGGTTGGAAACAGTAAATGTATAAAAGGCATTCAGCATGAAGTTATAAATAAAGACAATAGAACAGGTCAGCAAACAAAGGGGGACAGCAGAGGGCAGCAAGGGACTAGCTCCCTTAAGGTTTACTATACTAATAGCAGGAGTGTTAGAAATAAGATAGATGAGCTAAGATTAATTGCAAGTTTCAGGAAACATAGATATTATTGCTATAACAGAGACCTGGCTCAATCTGAAAGATAGAGAGATGCCCTCTGAATGTCACATACAAGGCTATAAATTATTCCACACTGACAGGGTCAACAGGAAAGGTGGTGGAAGTAGCGATGTATGTCAGAGACAATTTAAATTGTTGTGTTAGACAAGATATTAAATTAGAAGCGTCAGCCACTGAATCTGTTTGGTTACAGCTTCTCGAGGGCCGAGAAAAACTAATTTTGGGTGTGATTTACAGGGCCCCAAATCTTGATAGGGAGTGCAGTAAACTTCTATGGGACGAAATTCGTAAGGCATCTACATACGAAAATGTTGTGCTAATGGGAGATTTCAACTATAGACAGATTGACTGGAGCAATTTGACAGGAAATTTAGAGTCGGGTGACTTTCTTGATACGATCCAGGATTGTTTTTTAAAACAAGTTTGTGACAGAGCCAACTAGGGGAAATAACCTCCTTGACTTGGTTCTTGCCAGTAGGGAAACACTAATTAATAATCTTGAGGTTAATGATGAGCTTGGGGAGAGTGATCACAAATCACTCAGTTTTAACATATCATGGAATTCCCCTAATAATGGCAATCAAGTCTCCGTCCCTGACTTTCGCTTGGCTGATTTCATAGGACTGAAAAATTACTTAGGTGGGCTGAACTGGAATGACCTGACTAGGGGTCAGGTAGGTGGTGATGGTTGCCGATATGATGCTTTCCAGGGCATAGTTCTAGCTGCTCAGTCAAATTATGTTCCAAATAGGGAAATCAGATCAAACAAAAATGATCCTAAATGGATGAACAATAGATTAAAATATCTGATTGGTCAAAAGAGAGGCATATATAGGCAAATCAAAAGAGGAGAGGGGCAATTAAGAAATCGATATATTCAGTTAAAGAGAGAAAAAAAAAAGGGAATTAGAAAAGCAAATAGAGATTATGAGGTTAAAGTTGCAAGAGAATCGAAGACTAACCCAAAAGGATTCTTTCAGGTATACAGAAGTAAGATCAGGGACAAGATAGGCCCACTCAAAAGTTCCTCGGGTCAGCTCACTGACAGTGATAAGGAAATGTGTAGAATTTTTAACACATACTTCCTCTCAGTTTTTACACAGGAGGATACCAGCGATATTCCAGTAATGATAAATTATGTAGAACAGGACGATAATAAACTGTGCACTATTAGGGTCACAAGTGACATGGTCCTTAGGCAAATAGATAAATTAAAACCTAACAAATCCCCAGGCCCTGATGAACTGTATGCAAGGGTTCTAAAGGAATGTAAGAGGAGCTTAGCACACCTTTGGCTAATCTTTTCAACATATCACTACAAACTGGCATGGTGCCAGATAAGTGGAAAATGGCAAATGTGATACCTATTTTCAAAACAGGTGACAGGTCCTTAGCTTCGAACTATAGACCAATAAGCCTAACCTCCATAGTGGGAAAATTTATGGAATCAATAATTGCCGAGGCAGTTCGTAGCCACCTTGAAAAGCATAAATTAATCAACGAATCTCAGCATGGTTTTACAAAGGGGCGTTCCTGCCTTACGAATTTATTAAACTTTTTTCACTAAGGTATTTGAGGAGGTAGATCATGGTAATGAATATGATATTGTGTATATGGACTTCAGTAAGGCTTTTGACAGGGTCCCACATCAGAGACTATTGAGGAAAATTAAAGCACATGGAATAGGAGGAGAAATTTTTTCCTGGATAGAGGCATGGTTGACAAATAGGCAGCAGAGAGTTTGCATAAATGGGGAGAAATCAGAGTGGGGAAGCGTCACGAGCGGTGTTCCACAGGGGTCAGTGTTGGGCCCCCTGCTGTTCACAATCTACATAAACGACATAGATGAGGGCATAAAGAGCGACATCGGCAAGTTTGCCGATGACACCAAAATAGGCCGTCGAATTCATTCTGACGAGGACATTCGAGCACTCCAGGAAGATTTGAATAGACTGATGCAGTGGTCGGAGAAGTGGCAGATGCAGTTTAATATAGACAAATGCAAAGTTCTAAATGTTGGACAGGACAATAACCATGCCACATATAAACTAAATAATGTAGATCTTAATATTACGGATTGCGAAAAAGATTTAGGAGTTCTGGTTAGCAGTAATCTGAAACCAAGACAACAGTGCATAAGTGT